GGGATTAATAAAGTAAATAAACTTAAACTTAAATCCCTCGCTTCCAAGGGCTAGTTTCATACCCACTACCCCTCGCGTGAATGCGCAAATGTAGGGGTAGGGCCAGGGGGTAGGGCTAAGGGGGGGTATTGGGACGGGCCCATAAAAAGGTTTTCACAGGCCTCCATGCTGCTTTCTGCTGTTTACTAAGCTGTTCTCCGCCCACAACTGTCTGTGATGTCAAACATAAGCCATCAAAAAAAAAAAAACACACAGAAAATCATACTCGTCTGCTGCAGAGCTGGCAAAGGGGTGTGTGCCTATTTTTAGCGAATTTACCTGTGTTTAAAAAAACCCGTGTACATGCACTCATTTTGGCGGGAAGGGTTTATACTTTATACTTAAACTTAGTATTTCTGCACCACTTGAAGGACGAATGAAGCCAACTGCTGTAACCAATGTCTTTGCTTCACCTCGGTGTCGATAATTTAAGTCTGCCAGAAACTGCGGTTTTGGAACCAGCTGACAGTGGGACACTTTCCAGAGTGAGACTGTTAAAATCTTTCAAATCTCCAGAGCATCACTCTTATCGTTGAGTGAGCTCCTTCATCCTTAAACTGAATGGGAATTGACAGTGATGAGATCTCCACTAACTGTTTAGGAAAAAAGTAACGTTAGCCTGTACACTTGAGTGCTTTTGTGGCGAGGGGAGACTGCTAAAGACGCTGGTGAGTGTTTGGAGTTGTTTTTGCGTTCAAGTGTATAAAATAAAAGTCATGTGAACAGATATATTTTTTAAAACAGACAGGGAAAATATCTGTTTTCACAAATGTCTGTATACGTGTAGACACGGCCTCAGTTACTGGTAACTGTATGAGCAAGACAATACGCTCTGACATGTCCTTGTTTGTCTAAGAACCTCATCATGTGTTATAATTTATTCTGTGTACAGAAAACCTTTGTAAATTCTGAATTAAAATGTGCATTTAAACACTACATTGTCACATTATCATCTTCTGGTTAAAGCAAACAGTTCCCAATCGACACATGCAGCAGATACAGAGCAACATAAGCATTAATCTAAAGTAGTGTTTGTGGCCTGCTGATGAATGTAACTCCAATATTCACTCTTCTTTAAGCACTGATTTGTTCTCCACCAACTCCCAAAAGAAACATCTGTCCCTTTAGCTGCTGAATGTTCCACTTTGTTCACCAGCTGGTCTCTAACTGGGTCTGTCTGTTGTTTCTTGCTGAGCACAGCAGGTTTATCAGAGTACTTCCCTAAAAACAGCTGCCTGGAAATGATAAAAGCTGTGAACTGAATCAAAGCAGTTGTGTTGTGGGCCATAAGGAGCAGAAAGGTTCTGTAGAGTTAAGGAGGATCACTGGTGATAACACAACGAGCGACCCCTTTGTATATTATAAATGGTCATTCTAACCACTGTTGACGTAGAAGTATTGATTAGAGCAGTTTTAACTCGTACCATGCAGTCAGCCTTGGTGATATGTTTGGCCGCTGTCCTGGGGTCGACCTCAGCCAGCAGCTCCTTCACCCTCCGCAGGATGGCCACCTCCAAAGGCTTATTCTCCTTGGGCATCAGCGACGACTGGTACCTGCTTGGTTTGAATGATGATTCCGTCTCCACCACAGGCGAGAAGTACACGTTCCCGTCCTCCGACCTTAGTGGATCTACGCCCACTGACCCTTCCTCCGCCCACAGCCTCTCAACATAGCTCTGGGGGCCGGGATACAGCTCCGTGTAGCAGCTCCCACCTGCATCAGATGATGGGGAGTCGTGGTTCAGATGTGGCTGGGGTCTGTCGTCACACTGTCTGTGGAGGGTGCTGCTGGGAGAGGGCAGGCGTCGGGCGGTATCCGAGCGCCTGGAGAGGGACGGGGATGGAGCCACGCTGGTTGCTCGACTACTGCTAGGGCTTCTGGACTGTGGTGCTGGAGATGGAAGAAGAGAGGGAAAAGACAATTATTTATGAACGCTGGCAACAATGTTTTTCAGTCCACTTTTACTGATGATGAAGTGATGAAATGATGAAGATATTAGTCAGCTTTCAAGAAAGGCAGATAAAAAATATCCACTGGTTCTTAGTTAAAGGGGCGCTACACTGTATTCAGAGCGTATCTATGACTCAGAGTCTGATTCAGACTGACAATGGAAGTGGCTGAGCCAGTGGCTAGCAGCTAATGGTGCTAACACAGACCCAGTGTGCCAGGCTTTCAAGCCAATTTTTGTGTCGGCCAAACAGTGGAATTAAACTTCTGAGCTGATCATGTGATGCCACTGGGCCTGAAAAGACTCTTTCCCTTAGACTTACATTGTGAAAGAGATGTCTGTATATCAGTGGCTGGATTTTTTTGAGTGTAGCAACAACCATGAAATGACTCGTTTTACTATCAGGATTTAATCAGTTCCGACTGATAACACAACACACAAAGTCTAAAAGAACCACACGATTAAATAATTTTATCCCCATTCAAGTTAGCAGAGCCGGAGGTCTCTTATGCACCTGCTCTATAGGCCACACAGTGCGGAAGCAGCTCCTAAAACCCGGGTAATTTTATATATTGAATGTTTCTGGCGTTGTGTGTCACTGAGCAACTTTCATAGAAATTAACCAGTTACACCCATGTGCTAACAGCATAAACAGTGCTAACAATGGCAACACTACTGTCAGAGCTAACAGTGTCAGTGGGGGTAAATGAGGATGAAGACTATGCCTCTGTTTCGTCGCCGTCCAGATATCAGCGCTAACCATCATAGAGCGCAGTGCAGAGCAGCAGCAAACAGCTAGCCAGTGCCAAGACTCACGTGCACACACTTGCGCACACGGTCGGACCATCTCTCACAACAAATAACAGAGAAGCTCTGATGGAAACACACACACTATATGCTGATATATTTCTGCTCTGAATGTTGCATACAGACCCATTAAGACATAAATATTTTTGCCTAAGCTCACAGAATTCTAGATTAATTTTCTTCTAAAAATTATCTGCTTGCTGAAATTTTTATCAAACAGAAAATAATGCATTTGTTGGGGACTATTTTCAGCGGTGGATTAATCCACATTTAGTGCTTTTATGAGTATCTATGGCAGCAGGACAGTAAGTGTGAGACTGAGTCAAACTAAACTACAGTGTGTGTGTACATGGTAATGAAGGAGCATGTCACCCAGTGTGGCAGTGTAGCTCACTGATGTGATTTTAATAATTTTTGGCCAACAGTGGAGCTCTACAGCACAGAGGGAGAAGATATATCAGGCTCTGAATACACAGAATACTTGTTACTTGTTCGTTTACAGACTATCAAAACTAAAATTATCACCTCACTGTTGTTCTGCCTCCACAAACCAGTCAAGTTGCAGTTTACATCTGTGTCTGCCCAGACTCAAATGTTGCCGGGGTCAGTTGACAATGCTTCAAATATGGATGTTGCTGCAAAGAAGCTACAAAATCTAAAACACGGACGCTTCACACACATCTTCAACCAGCAATTAAATCCGCACAGTTTCAAGATTAGACTCACTAACTCAGTATCTGACAAAAAGTCTCCTCTTCTGTTCCTGAGATATAACGAAGCGTAATGGACAGAAAAGTGTTTTATGCAGAACATGATGATGTCACAGTGAAGCTGATATTTGACCTTTTGGATATAAAATGTCATCACTTCATCATTTTATCCTGTTAGACATACATGAAATTTTGTTGTAATAAGTGAATAATTCTTTAGGGCCAAAAATAAGTTTTTTGAGGTCACAGTGACCTTGTCCTTTCGCCACTAAAATCGAATGAGTTCATCATTGAGTCTAGGTGGACGTTTGTGCCAAATCTGAAGAAATTCCCTCAAGGCTTTTTTGAGATATCACATTTACCAGAATGAGACGGATGCAAGTTCACAATGACCTTGACCTTTGATCACCAAATTCTAATCAATTCATCCTTGAGTCCAGGTGGACGTTTGTGCCAAATTTGAAGATATTCCCTTGAGACCTTCTTGAAATATTATGTTCACAAGAATAGGATGCAGCAAGTCACATTCACCTTGACCTTTGACCCATGACCATGTAAATCTGATCATTTCATCTTGGAGTCAAAGTTGACGTTTGTGCCAATTTTGAAAGGCGTAGTTGAGATATTGCATTTACGAGAATGGAACAGACGTACGGACAACCTGAAAGCATAATGCATCCACGTCTATCACCAACACAGAAGCATAAAGATATCACAGACACACCCGTTAGATGAAGCTGGAGTATCAATCAAGTGAGTTGGACTCTGGTCCTTCACCTCAGCTTCTGTGTAACATGCGTTCTATTGCGAAACTCATTTGTCATATCGATTGTGCCAAAGTCTGTAAACAAGGTTATGGAGTTCATGTTAAAGCACACTGCCTGGTTACACCGTGATGACCTTAACATTATGTCATGCACACTGATGCAGCCGCAGTGATTTAATTTGACTGCTTTCACTCCATACTTACATTTTTTTGTATATATTTAAAATTTTGCCATCTTTTATTTTAATCATGTCCAATGTGTCTTGTTTCCTCTTTTTTCACAGTTTTTTCTTCATTTCACGTGTACAATTTAATGTTTAATGCTGCTGCCTCTGTGATTTTAATAATCAATTTCTTTAATCATGAATACATCACGATCTCACTGAAATAAAGACTTGCTCCAAAAATGTATAGTGTTTTAAAGAAAGGACAAAAAACAAGAAAATGTGATTTAATAAGGAATAAAACAAACAAAATAAATCTCACCAAATCCCATCAAATTAATTTACTATTGTTCCACAGTAACCTGCCACCACAGATCAGTCCTATCTCATTACTACATCTTATGGTCAAGGTCTAAGTTTACTACTGGAGATTCTCATTGAGCCAGTTCTTCCCCTATTTAGCCAATCTACTGTTGCTGCTGCTACATACTACATACACCCTGAACTTTACTCCTACTCAGAGCCAACACCCTCTGAGCTGCTTTAACCATTGGAGCCGGACGACAGTCAGTCAGAGAGCCATTTGCTGTGAGGGAGGCTGGATGTGCAGACAACAAGCTGGTGCTGACAGGTGAAATCTGTTGACCTGGCTGCTCCCGGTAAGTCTTTGGATCAAACAATCAAGACCAGTGTGGGAGTTTCACAGGCTAAGATTGGGATAAGGCTGGTGGGATGTGGGTTTAAAGCTACAATTTTACTGATTTTAACAGTTATTTTTGTGTTTTATGTTGTATGACGTATAACTATGATGTATAGTGCATGCATAGAGCGTTCATGTAAATCCTGAGAACCTGCAGATGGATGCTATGGTCTCAAAGTCTAGCGGCTTCCAGATGTTTCCTGTTGACATGTTCAACAGAAGCAGGACTACACTTTTTGACACTCACTTTTTGAAGCCAAGTTCCTCAACCACTGTATTTTGAAAGTTCAACTCATAGACAGAATAAAGTCCAGGTTTGGATGTTTAGATGAGCAGACTCACTGCAACAGGAAAACATAATGACAACCAGATAAAAAATAAAACAAAGTATTCTATGTATATGGGAACCAGATTAAAAACAAAGTGTCTGATGTCTTAGTAAGAGCCAGGCTCAAAAGCAAAATGTTCTATGTAATTAAAACAAGAGCATTAAGGGATTATTTTGGAAACAGATGCCTGTCAACACAAAACATTTCCTCATTTTGTTTCCTGTTTACAGAAAGTGTCAGGACCAGAGTGGTTTTTGTTCCTTTTACAGAGAACTATTTCATGCATTGCTCAAACCTCCCAGGTCTCCAATGTCTCCAAAAGTTTTATAATTCACAAAAAACGTTGTACTCATTTTTAATTATAGCCAAAAATAGGTCACATTATTAGTTCTACTAGTATGTAAATTGAGTTATGGATTACTTTTTAATTTAAATGTGCTATAATGTGTATTATTATTATTATTATTATTATTATTAATTTTATAATGTTTGCAGCACTCTATGCAGCTAAAGCTAAACTTTATTCTCACTGCTGTGGTTCTTAATTCTTGTTAGCACCATGTGTGATGGCTTGTCTGACCTTTGACCTTGTAAATACATAAGGCAGCTGCTATTGATTCCCCTTTTCATAGTCCAACACCTATCATTACCAAGCAACACAAGTTCATGTGCACAAAGCTGTGAAACCTGAGAACATATACCAAGTTCAAAAAGCTTTCCTAAACCTCCTGAGAATTAGCAGCAGGAATTCTCTGTGAGGTTATGTAATCAGGAGACTGTTATCGAGCTGTTGGGATTCTGGATGTTATGTAAGTTTAGGAGCAGGGTGCCTCTGTTTGCTGAAAATCCCTTCCCTTGTAGTTACGTGCATTCACTTTGTTTTGGCTGCACTACTGGAATTTTTAGTTAGCATGCTTGACAGTCATTGCACTCAACTGTGAGTAGGTGGTATCTGTTCATCTCAGGGGTGCAAAATATTCCTGAAGTTGACAGCAGCTAATATCAATAACCATGTGTACTGGTGCTATTTTGCCTGGCACACAACAGTCTTACTCCCAACTGGCAAAACTAAGAAGGCACTATGTCTGCATCTTAATCGATTAAACTAAGAAATTAAATTTGTAATAAGCTATCAAACATTTGCATACTTATTGGCATAGCCACAGGGATCAACATGACAAAAGTGTCATTATCTGCCAATGTCCACAAAGGTCCATGTGGACCTCTGAATGGAAGTCCAAAATGCTGCCCAAACTTTAAGACCATAGATGCCATCCTGAGCATGTCTGCTGTCCATGTCCATTTTGAAGGATATTCGTCCCTTTATACTTGACTAGATAAGTGCCTCTTCTCCTTTGACTAACATCAGCTCAGGTCTTTCTTTTTTCAAACAAACACAAGAACAATGTGACTTTTATGGGAACTCAAATGTCACCAACTTCTTCTAAAATGTCCACCAAAATTAGTTTTAAAGAATCTGAGGTGACAAAAAGGCCACTTTACACATGCAATACCCAGAGCACATTTCTGGTTCTTTTGAAGTTTGTTTGAACTATTAACTCCTGTTAATAATTCTACTGACCGTACTCCTGAAAAAACAAATTGTAGTTCTACTAAGGATCGATTAGTGGGTCATCTGGGAGCTGGACAACTCACAAACTCTGGTTAAAGGTTTTGATGATGGCAGGGTGTGCTGTCTCTTAAAAAAACTGAACTTTGTGAAGATATTCTCTTTTTATCTAACCATTTACCAGACTTCGCAAATTACCGCAGCATCGAAATGATCCTCAGAGGATCCTTAGACTAAAATGAGAAGATCTAAAACTTTATTTATTGCAGATTTGAGATGGAACACAGAGCTGCAGCCGCATGGTGCTTCTTGTCCTATCATTTTTTAAAATATAATCTTATCATTAAAAGGTTCAGGACCTCTGCAACACGGTAAGTCTTATCATTGTCTTGTAAAGCATTAAACATAGTTTGCAAATGAGTCCATCGTCCAGATTTACAAGTCCAGCTTCGAGATATCTGTTCAGCTGTTAGTTAGGGTGATGCATACTCTTAAACTCAAGAACTGTAAGGCCTTGCTGAGCAGGATTGATCTAACATTCTCACATCTCTTTCAGAGATGTACCAACTGATCTTAGCGGCACTTGTGGTGCTGCTCTGCTCTTCACCCTTGGTAAATGGAGGGAAAGTCCTGGTGTTCCCCTGTGATGGAAGCCACTGGATCAACATGAAGGTCCTTGTTGAGGAGCTTCACTCCAGAGGCCATGAAATCACAGTCATGCGTCCAGCAGACAGCTGGTACATCAAGCCAGACTCCCCGTTCTACAAGTCCATAACAATAAATTCTCCCGCTGGTTTTGATGAAGAACAATTTGGATCATTTGTAAAAACAATGGTCAACTTGCGGCGGGATGGTGCTTCACTTTGGACTCGTATATCTCTGGAGTATGAACTGGTGGAACAGTTCTATGAGATGCATAAGAAGTTGATTCAAATGACGGGGGAGATGTTTGAGAATACCAAAATGATGCAGAGCCTCCGTGATGCCAAATATGATTTGGTTTTGACAGACCCTGCGCTGGGTCCAGGGGTGCTTCTCGCTCATCGTTTGGGTCTTCCACTAGTCTTTAATGTGAGGTGGACTATTCAAGGTGATGGGCATCATGCAATTGCACCTTCCCCGCTCTCCTATGTCCCAATACCAGGGTCAGAGCTGAGTGACAAGATGACCTTTACTGAGAGAGTCAAGAACGTCCTTTACTATTTCTTCACTTGTTTTCAAATTTGGTATGTCACAGACCAAAACTACAAACCATTTGTTCATCGTTACTTTGGTAAAGATGTACACTACATAGAGCTGTTTCAGGCGGCAGACATCTGGCTGATGAGGAATGATTTTACCTTTGAGTTCCCACGACCCACAATGCCAAACATCATCTATATGTCAGGCTTTCAATGCAAACCCTCCAAACCCCTGTCGAAAGAATTAGAGGACTTTGTCCAGAGCTCTGGTGAGCACGGCGTCATCGTTATGACATTGGGAACCCTGGTGGCAAAACTTCCTGATGACATCGCTGAGGAAATTGCCGCAGCTTTCGCCCAGCTTCCTCAGAAGGTGCTCTGGAGACACAAAGGCAAAAAACCATCCACCCTCGGCAACAACACCTTGATCTTGGACTGGCTGCCCCAAACTGACCTCCTGGGTCACCCCAAGACCAGAGTGTTTGTGGCCCACGGAGGCACCAATGGAATACAGGAGGCCATCTACCATGGTGTCCCTCTGGTCGGCCTGCCCCTCATGTTCGACCAGCCTGACAACTTCTCCAGGATGAAAGTAAGAGGTGTGGCCAAAGTCCTGGACATTGCAACTGTGAACAGAGACAACTTCCTGGAGGCGCTGAAGGAGGTACTCTATGACCCAACCTACAGGGAGAAGATGAAGGCGCTGTCCAACCTGCAGAGAGACCAGCCCATGGAACCACTGGACCGGGCCATGTTCTGGATCGAGTTTGTCATGAGGCACAAAGGAGCAGCACATCTGAGGACAGAGTCGTACAAGATGTCCTGGATCCAGTACCACTCAGTTGATGTGGTGGCGTTTCTGCTGGCAGTTGTTTTGCTAGGATTTGCTGTTTTCATTTGTGCAGTTAAATTTTTGTGGCGAAGAGTGTTTTCTGGAAGCAAAGTCAAAAAGGAATGAAAAACGTGCTTAAAGTTGGTTGTGTCAGATTCCCTGGATCCAGTAAAAAAAAAAAAAAAACATTAGTAAACTATTCTGCTCTGTATTCAGAGTCCTGAGCAGGCTGCAAACAGTCCGACACTGGTACCCCAGCACACCTAAGTGTGTGTGTATACATCCACAAACCTCACAGTGTTTCCCATTAATTGCCTAGACTGTGGCTCACCAGAGTTTCATAATGAACCGTACATATTGTTGCACTTGTCATTAGAACATTAAAGACTAATGCTGTGTTCTTTGCTATGTCCTCACAATTCAAATCTATACAACCAAGCAACCAAGAAAAATAAAGAATACTGCAGTTCCTTGAATGGCCACTTGAGGCTGACTCCAAAAGCGAGTCAATACCCATAGACCCCCCTGTTAAAATGTCAGACTTTACAGCAGAATTGAGCATGTTTACAGCCTGGTGCAAAAACTGGTTTTGTTCTCAATAGCTAAATGCGTCATTCATGACAGCTGTACGGGCAGTACATTTTTATATAGCTACCGTCTACAGTAACTACAGTCTATGAGTCAGATCCACCCATTGCTTCTCCACAGCTTCACCCCCTCGTCCAAATATGGTCACATCTGGCCCCAAAAATCCAAGATGGCAACAGTCAAAATGCCACATTGAAGGCTTCAAAACGTGAGTCAACAAGCCAGTGGGTGACGTCTATGCATACAACCAATGTGTTTATGCAAGGTTCAACAATAGGGAATGCCCAAGGGCCAGACCCAGGCCAGTGGGCCAGTAAATATAATCAGACAGTTGCTGTTTCGGGCCAGTACTCACAAAAGAAAAGGAAGCGGAAGAAAACATTTCATCGCTTTGCAAGCGACATTACAACATGTGCTTTTCTCTCCAAGACTTTGCCTTGCTATGCCAGTGTCTGTCTCCAACTTTAGTGGAGACAGATTTACTGAAGTACAAAAATAGTTTACAAGACCACAAAGTTCTTCATAGATCTGTAGCCTCTTAATTTCCCCCCAGAGTTCACCAGATTTATGCATTTCACTTTAAAATGTACAAAATTTTCTTCTGGGTGAGCATGCCACCAGAGCCCTCTAAAGGGTCCAAGGTCCACCGACCGCAGTCTCACAAAATCCTGTGCAAAACACTACCTTATATCACATAACAACCTCAGCCAAAGACCTCATGTTTCTGTTCTGTTCTGTTCTGTTGTTTGGTAAGCAGCATGTCTCAAAAATCTGTAAATAATTAAATACTATCTGGTGGAAAGTTTGACCTTTCGTCAAGCCAACAGCTTTTAGTCTGCATCCAGGGATGGTTTTGAGGAATTACTCGGAGAGGGTTCTTTAACATTTTTCTATTCTCATTAACCACTGTACTGGCTTTAATAAAATTAAATTAGCTTGATTTATGAAAACTGACATATATATTTTGTGATTTTTTGTCACTAGCGGTGGGTGATGATTTAATACCATTTATAATTTTTAGTAATAATATGATGTTGACATGTTTTTGTTCCACTAATTCATGTTCTACAAATAATGATTTTGAGCAAGCTGTATGTGCAAAAGAAAAAGTTTAATAAAGCATTTTAAGAGTTTGGACTTGTGTACTGCATAACTGAGTAACACAATTCATTGCTTCTCAAAAATGTGATTATTTCATATGTACTTTGGCGACTATCGTTGTGTGGCACCAGTCTGCAAACATAATGAACAACTTGCATCCTGGACAATACATACAGTATACACAGTAATGTATACACACAGGACCATTTTTGTACAGTATACAAACATGATGACTCAGTGTTTTACATAAACAAATACATTATACAGTCAGAACCATAATAAAAACCTTATAAAATATTGTTATCCATATCATAATAATGATTACAACTTTATTCTCCAACCACTATGTATCAATCCTTATTTTTGAGACGTACTGGGAACAAATATTTCATGAAATTAATACATTTTATGCATAGTTTATCCAGCCAAAAATGTATGCTGCCATCTTTGTCCTGTTATGTATCAATCATATTATAATTTCTTAGGATTTTAACACTCAAAGTTGTATTTTCTGCCTTCAAAAATAACACAATCACAGCCCAGTCGCCAGAAGAAAATCTTGCCGCTATACATTTCTGCAAACCACAAATACTTTACATTTGTATGTTTCAAATGTATCATATCAACATTTCTAAAGTGACATAGTGAGGTTGAGAGGATGGTGGATGGCGTAAAACCTAGGCGAGATGCCTGTCAAGCTGCAGACCACTGTTCAGGACCGACAAACAACAAAACCGGTTGGTATTAGCAACCTGTTGCTGTTTTTCCAGTGGCTTTTAAAGGACCAGTGTGTAGAATTTAGTAGGTGTGGTGGGAAAAAAATCGATACAGCATAGCATCGGGATATTTTTGTTTGGCAATACTATATCATCACACAGTGCCACATATTGATTTCTTTATTAGATAAATTATTTATATGACAAATGCAAAGTAAACTTTAAACTGGAATTATATAATCAGGTGTTTTTTCAGTCCACTAGATAAATTTTGCTGCAGAAAATGACTGAAGTGAGATGAATAGTCTGAAAACTTATTAGATAAAACAGATGTTGACAAAGTTTTTTGGGGACGTAATTTACAGTTGAAAAAGGTGATAAATTGCAATATATAAAAAATATTTTTATCGCAATACTCGGCACATCGCAACATATTTAAAATCGTAAAAATATTGTATCATGACTTAAGTATTGTGATAATATTGCATTATGGATCCTCTGGTGATTCCCACCCCTAGAATTTAGATATATTGGCAGAAATGGTATATGATATTCATAACTATGTTTTCATTAGTGTTTAATCATCTCACTAAGAGTCATTGTGTTTTCGTTACCTTAGATTGAGCCATTTATATCTCTATACAGAGTGGGTCCTCCTCCACAGAGTTTGCCACACTTTTTTTGCATCAACCTCTGTAGCTCTCCTTCGCTTGGCACACGCTAGAAGTTTCAGTTGTTGCAATCTGGAGCCTCAAGACTAGATGCCAATAAATCCACACACACTAGACCTTTAAGTGTGGGTGGTTTTTAGTGGTCTGCTGTTGCTTTTCCCGCGAGGATGGTGCACGAAAAGCGGTTATTTTCAGACACATTTCCTGCCAGGATAACACCACAAAAAGTGGTATTTTAAGACAAAACATGATCTTTTCCTAGCCATAACTAAGTGTTTTTTGTGCCTTCAGTTACATAATAACATACAAATGTAACATATCCATGGTTTTCCAAACTGTACAATGCCGACATTTATTTTGGTGATTGTGTTGAAAAGACTACAGCGGACCATAGAACTGTGCATAATATAGAGATGCTCACAGTTGGCACAAACCTTTCTTATACTATGACGTATTTGAAATTAGACAACTCTGTTCTCTATTTTCAGTTCTTTATGTTAAATTGTTAGGTTTTTGGATCCTCTTGAGCTCAAGAAATGTTAAGACTTGTTGAGCAGGATAGATCTAATATCCTTACACCTCTTGTCAGAATCTTTTTCAGAAATGTACCGACCGATCTTGGTGGCACTTGTGGTGCTGCTCTGCTCTTCACCCTTGGTAAATGGAGGGAAAGTCCTGGTGTTCCCCTTTGATGGAAGCCACTGGATCAACATGAAAGTCCTCGTTGAGGAGCTTCATTCAAGGGGTCATGAAATCACAGTGGTAAGGACATCAGACAGCTGGTACATCAAGCCGGAGTCCCCGTTCTACAAGTCCATCACTGTGGAATTGCCTGCTGGTTTTAATGAGGGACACATGGAGTCATTTGCAACCAGAATGATGAACCTACGACGGACAGGTGCTTCACTTTGGACTCTTATATCTCTGGAGTATGAAATGGTGGAATTGTTCTATCAGATGCATGTTCTGGTGGTTCAGATGGTGGAGGGGATGTTTGAAAATACAAAACTAATGCAGAGCTTCCGCGATGCCAAATATGATGTGGTTCTGACAGACCCTGCAGCTGGTGCAGGGGTGTTTCTGGCTCACCGTCTGGGTCTTCCAATTGTCCTCAATGTGAGGTGGACTATTCAAGGTGAGGCCCATCCTGTAATCGCACCTTCCCCACTCTCCTATGTCCCAATAGCATTGTCAGAGCTGACTGACAAGATGACCTTTCCCGAGAGAGTCAAGAACGTCTTTTGCTATTTCTTCTTATGTTTTCAAGTTTGGTATGTCACAGACCAGAGCTACAAACCATTTGTTCATCGTTACTTTGGTAAAGATGTACACTACATGGAGCTGTTTCAGGCAGCAGACATCTGGCTGATGAGGAATGATTTTACCTTTGAGTTCCCACGACCCACAATGCCAAACATCATCTATATGTCAGGCTTTCAATGCAAACCCTCCAAGCCCCTGTCGAAAGAATTAGAGGACTTTGTCCAGAGCTCTGGTGAGCATGGCGTCATCGTTATGACATTGGGAACCCTGGTGGCAAAACTTCCTGATGACATTGCTGATGAAATTGCTGCAGCTTTCGCCCAGCTTCCTCAGAAGGTGCTCTGGAGGAACAAAGGCAAAAAACCATCCACCCTCGGCAACAACACCTTGATCTTGGACTGGCTGCCCCAAACTGACCTCCTGGGTCACCCCAAGACCAGAGTGTTTGTGACCCATGGAGGCACCAATGGAATACAGGAGGCCATCTACAATGGTGTCCCTCTGGTCGGCCTGCCCCTCATGTTCGACCAGCATGACAACTTCTACAAGATGAAAGTAAGAGGTGTGGCCAAAGTCCTGGACATTGCAACTGTGAACAGAGACAACTTCCTGGAGGCGCTGAAGGAGGTACTCTATGACCCAACCTACAGGGAGAAGATGAAGGTGCTGTCCAACCTGCAGAGAGACCAGCCCATGGAACCACTGGACCGGGCCATGTTCTGGATTGAGTTTGTCATGAGGCACAAAGGAGCAGCACATCTGAGGACAGAGTCGTACAAGATGTCCTGGATCCAGTACCACTCAGTTGATGTGATGGCGTTTCTGCTGGCAGTTGTTTTGCTAGTATTTGCTGTTTTCATTTGTGCAGTTAAATTTTTGTGGCGGAAAGTGTTTTCTGGAAGCAAAGTCAAAAAGGAATGATGAATGTGAAGTGTTCTGCTCTGTATTTAGAGTCCTGAGCTGGATACAAACATTCTTACACTGGTAAAGTGTGACGTAAAGTGGTCATGCTCTGTTTCTTTGTGTGTTTGTTAGAAAGATGATTAAAACATATGTAACAACGCAGTTTGGTAAAACGTTAGAGCTCGAGTCAAATCAGCCACCTTTAATCCATATCCACGATTCTTCTGACTACTTTGCTATTTTTTGAGTAGAATTTTTCTTCCTATTTTTCATTTTTGAGGTTACTGAAACAAATGTTCATGCTTAGTTTGCTAAGTATCCAGTTCTGTGTCAAACATCTTAAAATTTGTTATCATTCTGTATCTAAATGATTTTTTTGCACTAAAAAAGAAAATAATGAACAATACAACTGTATGTGTTTATTGGAATGCATATGCACTGAATATTTTGTGTAAGCTATTAATAATGGGTACTGATTCTGTTAAATAAAGAACAACTTAAATGAATGGTGACATATTAAATTACTGTTTTGTTCCTTGAAGCAGGTATCAAGCGGGTATTAACCACCAGAGCCTGGCAGCTTATTGGTGTCTTCTTACACTACTTATATAGCTGAATTAGTTTTGGGTTATTGTCATCAGGTAGTTCTCATAGGACACTGTCATTGTGTTTGAAGCTTCTGTTCACTTCTCACAATCATTTACTGTCTGACATCACAGCCGACTGTTTCACAGCTTTTAATATGTTTTTTAAAGAGATTTTTCTATTTGCATTTTGTCTTTATCTGAGAGATGACAGTGTGGACATATAAGAAACTTGAGGACAGAGGGGTATGACATGCATTAAACAACTAATGCAACACAAATATATGTCAAGGCAATTGAATCGAACACAACTGGACTTAGTTTTGTCTTAGAAGACGTTTCACCTCTTATCCAAGAGGCTTCATCAGTTCATGCTTGTCAGACTAGGCTGGAACTAGTCTGACAAACTGGTGTGGAAAAACCCAGGTATTTAAACTCTGAGGAGGTCTTCACAAGGCCAATGATGTCATTGGTTCGTTAGTGCTCCAATGGTGTGTCAACGACGGTCGTTGAAACTCCTGCTGCAAAGGTGGTCGTTGGAGTCACATGAGGCCATTTGTGAACAACCATTGTTTTTAGAGGTTAAGCTGTTAAGTCTCCTGGGCAAGGATGAAAGGACAGCATCGCAGACCTCCTCCTCAACTGAGAGATGGTTTTTCCAATTTCACATAGATGGCTTCTTTTACACCTCTTTCAAACCATCTGTCTTCCCTGTCCAAAATGTGCACACTGCTGTCTTCAAAGGAGTGTGCTTTCTCCTTGAGGTGTAGATAGACAGCTGAGTTTTGCCCTGATGAGTTAGCCCTTCTGTGTTGGGCCATGCGTTTGTTTAGTGGCAACTGATGAAGCCTCTTGGATAAGAGGTGAAACATCTTCTAAAACAAAACTAAGTCCAGTTGCTTTCGATTCAATTGCCTTGAGATAACTATGACCTGGATAAATGAGAATATCCACAGGCAACACAAATATAAATATAAAAAAACAGCTATATCACTATAATACCATACTAGCCTGTGGTGTGTGTGGTGTGAGCACATCTTTATTATGAGCATTATGTCTATGTTTTATCTTTTGACATTTCTGTATTGCAGCATCATTTCCTCATCACCTAACAAACACATATATCTGTGATTAACTAAAATAATTTGATACCATCGGCCATGTCATTGAATTGGTGTGTTTTTGACACAGATAAAATCAAAGCATCCTAAAAAGTTTTACAGTTGCCCTTCCCCCTGTGCACCAACTTTGCAGATGGTCTGTGTTTACTGGTTAGAGAGAAAGAAAAAAAACATCCATAAAGATTTTACAAGGCACTTTGGTGAAAAGTTAGGCCTTCAGTCAGGTGATTAGTTTTTAACCTTGTGATTTTATGATATGGTGTTGCTGTGTTACCATTCCATATATTTATGAGTTAACTACAGGGCACAAGCAATGAAATATTTTTTTGTAAATGATTGATAGTGGATGTTGTCTCTCTTAAATAATGGATAACTAAAACTAGAATTACCACCTTGTGGTTGTAAGCCTCCGCGTACCAGTCAAGCTGCAGTCAGGGCAGGAATTTCACAAGGGCCACGAGGGCCATGGCTCTCGTGGCCTCCTCATTTGGCCCTGTGCCCTTGAAAAAGATATCTGCCCTAAGGCCACAGTGGCCTTGATGCCATGCCCACACTGCCCCAGGTGATTTTGCGGTTTTCTCCTCTGCCTCTTTCCTGTCAACACGGCTTTGACACCTGCGTCTTTTGAGAAAAAAAATGAGATGACATTCTGGACTCTTACTGAGCAACTTCAAATGAGACGATGCGTACATCACCAGTGGTGGGTTTGATTCGAGCCTGGCATGAAGAGCTCGGACAGACTGTAACGACAGTTTGACACCAATCTATCACCGGCCAACCAGGAGACTTCATCAAACGCCCGGGCAGGGATTGGCACTGAGACCAGGTATTAAACAACCCAAGGCAAATTTAATCAACACCGTATAGTAAGCTCCACTATTATCAGCGTTACTTTTTAAAGTTTCGGTTTCATGTATCATCGTTCTGCTGCAGTGCAGATGAAGGGAATATAACTTCAAGATGACTCTAGTTAACGACAACTACGCTTGTTACTGTGAGTAAGTGCGATAAAACCTCTGCCAGCCAAGCCAATACTTTATCAATAGCTACATGTGATCAGCATGTAGACAGCCATATTTCAACCCGCTCTGTCCACGGTCTCTCATTCACCGCTATTATGATTCATGATCGCAGTCAACACAAGCACATCGCACTCGCAAGGCTAACAGCAAGGTGTTAAAGACAAACTAAATGAAAGCTGTGTGTGTGTAGGCTAACACTTTATCTGAACATGTACCTGAAAGCAGCGACCTGCAGACAGTGAGTGTCCTCAGTAGAGGAGGGACAGAGAGCAGGATGAATGACTGATACTGATGTTTGTCTTCATGCTGAGATAACGTGACTTTCTTCACTCAGTATTGTGATGTCAGGAGGAATATTTATATTCCAGTAAGATATTAATGGGTTTTAAATAGTGACTTTGTTGTTGTAAACATGACTGTTGCTGCCATGGACTGTACAAAACTATATCCTGTGTAACTGACCTGTAAGGAAAGTATCAGGAAGTGAGGTGTGTGTGTGTGTGTGTGATAGTAGATAGATAGTTTTCTTATAAATACATGAATCTGGTTGTTCTATATTTAAAACACATTGGGTTTATTAGTACTATTAAATAAATCTCATTATTACTTATTATACTCATCATTATTACTTGAGCTTGTTTTATTTATTAGTCCTTAAATTCATTATGAACGTGGACTTAAAATCATTGTTTTATTTTATGGCCTTGCTGCCCTCAAAAAAATTGACAACACGAAAGGCTAAGTGGCCTTGCCCTTAAAATGATGAAATTCCAGGCCTGGCTGCAGTAATAGATTACATCCATGTCTGTGAAAACGCTGGCATGAGGGCATAATAAATACTGACAATTAAACAAAGGACAACTAAAACAAATGGTGACATATTTAATTACTGTTCTGTTTCTTGAAGCAGGTGTTATTATTAACCACCAGAGCCTAGCAGCCTATTGGTTTCTTGTTACACTACTTATATAGCTGAATTAGTTTTGGGTTATTGTCATCAGGTAGCACTTACAGCACAATACCATTGTTTATAGTTTCTGTTTATTTCTCACAGACACTTATTGTTTTACATCAGATGCATAGAGAGAGAGAACCTAGAGACACAGGGTTATGGCAAGGTTTAATAAAGGTCCTGTACCATGGATGTTGCCATGAGGCTTTCTACATTTTTCAAGCCAAAAAAACCCCACAACAAATTAAAGGGAAAGCCTGATATTTTTCAACCTGACCCCTGTTTTCTCATGTCTCTGTATTTCAGTGACTAACGGGAACAACAATTTCTTTAATTTGGTCCAGTATTAAGCCAGAGCGCTGCAATGTAACCACTCTTGGCTGGTTCGCACCAACATTTTACATCCACTAAAAGTGCTTGTTTTTGCCACCAACACCTCAGATTATTCTTCTAAGTGTCTGACGACATAATGGAAGGAATTCCTTTTTACATTTAACTGGGTGCATTAAGGGTTTACTTGACTCAAACCAGAGTTGGTGACTGTTGAAGCAGTGAAAAGACGAACAATAAAATACTGTTTATTTGAATGGAGTCTGGTGGTTTTGGCTGTTTCTGGTTAAACACAAAGGATCCTACTCTTCGACAAAAACGTCAACCTCTACAGGGATCCTTCTCGTAAGGTTTCATACACTTAGAATAACAATCTCATTGTCAGCAAGTATAACAGCAACAGAAATCTTCATTGGAAATACAACTATTATAAATACAATAATCAACAACAATCAGTGCAACAAAAAATATAAAAAAAGTAGCTGTAATTTAAAAAACGTCTTTGAACAAATAAAAACATGAAGGCGTTGTAGTGTGTGTGGTGAGAGCACATCTTTATCATGAATTTTAAATACATATGGTTCATCTTTTGACATTTCTGTAGTATCTACTTACTAATCACTAAGGGCTGCCGCTTCTAGGAGCGTCATAAGTTCGATACTTTTTCACTGAAAGATGAAACAGTTGTATTTGTATTATTTGTATGTGATTTTTACTTACTAATTCATATGGTGCGAGAAGCAGCTGGCCCTCCAGGTATTTTCACCATTCAAAAAAGTTTCCACACCCCTGGTGGAGACGGTAAACCTTCTGTACTTGCCCATCAAAGTAAAACTAACAAAACACTCCCTGGTGGACTGACTTGGGACAGAGGACATGTTTGGAATTTCAAGTTGACCTTATTTTCACCTGTTAGCCCTGAGGAGTATTTTCAGGTTCAGTTCATTATTAAACTTACTGTTGCTGTTCAGAGAGACAGAGGATTCTCCAGCAGTCAAAAGAGGCTGATCGTCCTGTTCACCGTTCACATCTGCCTCCCTGTGGTGGAGAGAGGAAGGACTGCATGGAGACACAGAGAAAGAGAGACAGAGAGATGGCAGATGGTTATCGCCACACAGGAAACAGTAACTCATTTTGAATTTGTTTTATATAAAGAGGGAGTTGTGTCGTCTGTTATGTTGCTTCTTACATCTTATCAGCCTTTATTACAACTACAATTACCGCCTTGCAGTTGTGTGCCTCTGTGCACCAGTCACGTTGCTTTTACAGTTTACATCCATATCTGTGAAAACATGGATGCTTCACACCCACCTTCCCCCCGACAGCACAGAGGATCTGTACAATCAGCACAGTTTTAAGAAGGACACCAAGATTAGAGTCACTAATTCAGTATCTGACCAAATGTCTTTCCTTATGTTCCTAAGATATGACTTTGAATAATGGTAAGAAAAGTGTTTTTGCAGAACATTATGATGTCACAGTGACGTTAAATTTTTG